CGATTTATTCAATCGAATGCCCTCAATATTAACGTTTGGTTCAGTGTTACACGATATATTATAAGTATAGGTGAGATGTACGTCTCGTACAGGCGCGGTATTAGGAAGGTATCCTTCAGACAACCTCCACGCGTGCCCAAAAAAAAAAAAAATAAAAAAAAGATTAATGTAGATACACCCATTACAGAGTGTAATTTTTCCAATAACAAAAGAAACTCCCGAGTAATGCTGGTCTGAAAATTGTGCATTTTTAGTGCAGACATGGACTTATGGTAAAAAAAATTAAATAATCTTTGTAAAGTACTGTATTGTAAAGGTTCAAATAATAGGGTATTCTACTCTGTTTGAAATAATACTCGTTACTGTTTATTTTAATAAAAATAAAACATAGAAAAAATATTTATTCAAAATTTAAACTTTTTTAATACTTGCGAAAACGGTGTCCGTCATTGTGATATGTACACGAAACAGATGCACAGAGTAGAAGATTTAAATTCGTCAAAAAAAAACAAGAACAGTGTCATCTAATGCTCGATTACGAAATAAAAATATATAAGTAAGCTAAGAACAGCGCCATCTAGGAATCTGATTTACTATCATTTAGCATATCTTTATGAGTAATCTGAACGCTGGCACCACCGTCACACAAAGGCGGGTCGGGTTTCAAGTTACATGAAACAGACAATAAATCACGACTTTTAATTTTAAAGACAATAATGCGATTGTAAGACAAATATCCAGTTGCACAAACGCCCATTAAAATTGTCATGAGCTTAAAGCGACATTACCCATACAAGTTCGACATTTATTAGAGCTTAAAAGCGCCATTTAACCTTAATTGACGTTTATGCAACTGACCGTCAAAATCAGAATCTCTATGTTTACTACGATGTCAATTTTAGTTATGGTGCAAATTACTCCGTTATAGCAAATAAGCAGATAATCCCTCCCCCAAACACTTCTCCGTTAGAGCAAGTAGATAATATCCCCCCCCCAAATACTAGGGCGGTGTGTGTGAATCCCCCCCAAACACTAGGGCGGTGTGTGAGTGCGTGCGTGTTGTGTGGTACTGACTGCATGTCCAGCGCGGCGGTGAGCTCGTGCAGCAGCAGGCCGGGCAGGTAGTGGCGCGCGCGGTACTCGTGCGAGAGCGCGTGCGCGTGCGGCGCGGGCGCGGCCGACGAGTGCGACGCGGCCGACGCGGCGGACGGCGCGGGGGACGCGGCGCCCGACCCGCCGCCCGCCGGCAGGCTCAGCGGGATGTAGTGCTCGTGCGAGCACACGATGCGCAGGAACGATAGCTGCCGGGCACACGTACCGACGTGATACAAGGTGAAGTTTAAGGCTACCCCTCCCTCCACTCAAATCACGAGTATTTTTAGGACTTACAAAAAAATACTTTTCAATGCAGTTGCTCATAAAGCGCTATTTTTTAACCCATTGTAAACACTGAAAGTGAGTCTTTAAACACGTGTTAAATAAAAATGTACTGAAATCCTTTACTGCCCACATGCATAAAAGTATTTTTTTATTTTTTTTTGGCCGAGCACCAAAGAAATAAAAAAAAAAATTGATGAAAATATGTCAATCTTTTTGAAAATATGTCAAAAAATGTATGATACGAAAACATGTTCAAATATCACGTTTATTTTTAACAAATAATTTTTACCTTTAATACATACTTAGTTGTATTAACCTATATATTTGTTTTATTTCCTCGCAAAAAGCATTGAAAAATTTTGTAAGAAACTTGAGCGTAAAAGGTTTTTCGAATTCGTGCCAATGAAAACCTTCGCTGCGCTCGTGTTTGGCCCTTATTCGTTAAAGCTTACTTTCCGCACTCGTATCTTAAATAACTATTATTTTCGACGACGCTTTTCGGTTTAATAATCGCAGATTCGAGGAAAAAATAAATACATCCGATATATTATTACACCCCTCTATGATATTTTGTGATTTTAAACGAAGCTCATCACCCTCTTTTCGTGCCTCACGTGATTAAAAGATGGCCCCTAAAAATGTGATACCTAACCTTTCATCTCGAACGCAATCGCGACAAATAAAAATATATAATTAGTATAGTTAGTAGTAGTAGTAGTAGTCGATCGGGCGCGAGTTCGTATAAGAGTAAGGGCGCTTGTGCACTACACTGAATTTTCAGGTCAGGCGGTCCGATTTTTTCCGGTCCGGAATGACATGAAAAACTCGGATGAGTAGCTTGTGCACTTATCCGTTTTTTTCCTGATCGGAGCGGCGCAGTGTAGTGCAGCTCTCTTTGAAGCTACACGTCACTTACGCTAGGTACGATGAGATTTTTGGAACGTCGGTATTTCCGTTCGAAGACGTAGAAAGGTACCTAAATAATGATCTGATCGTTTAACATAAACCATAATAAATTATGGCAAGACAAAAGCATTTTTTTACTGCTATCGGATGACTACTATCAGATGTAAAAACTTATACCCTTACTTATTTAGGAACAGCATTATTCACATACAATAGCTAAAAATATCTGTGACATTAGAATAAAATTACTGATAATGGTCTTGTACTTGATAAACGTGCTATTTTTTTTCGAAGTTTTGTAAAAACAACTTTCAGCGATTACAGAAATAGACCAATCGGTGGCGCCATTTCGTAAACAAATCGAAATTAGTGCCGTGTTAGCGGAGAATTATTATGCCAAATGAACTTTACGAGATCAGTTGACTGTATTATATATAGGCATAATTTTTATACGCGTGGTGTAGTTTCTTTGAGCAGAAATATTTTTCCCTTAGAATACTTCTTTTTTAAAATTTATTAATGACACAAACATACATTAAAAATTTTATTAAATGCGAAAAAGACATTGAGTGTCACTTAATTACTTTTGTAAATCTTCTGTTTATTCTTTATTATTACTTCTGTTGTCAAATATTTATCTATACTTATCAATTGTCTAAAAAAAATTTGATAATAACAAATTTCCAGGCAAACTTTCATTCCCTATTTTTCGCGATAAAATGTAGCCTATGTCCTTTCTTAAAGTTAAGTCTATTTACTATATTAATTTCCATTTAGATGGGTTCAGTTGTTTAGGCGTCTAAGCGTAACAACACTTATTTATCTTACCTTAAGCTATCGATACTTTTAATACGATTCTAAAATCTAGCTAAGTATCGATACTAGAACCATACGCTGATCAAATTAGAACTTTACCGAGTTTGCCAAAGCATATGCAGTGATATATACCAACTATATTGAATCATCATATAAAATATAGCATTTTATAATCAACAATAAATATCGATTATAAGTTTATTGGAAATTAACTATATTACCGAAATAAATATCGATTCAAATCGATTATTTTTTCCCAAGCCTATTCCTTATGAATTTTCTGGATCTCGGACACAGCAGTGCACAAGCGTAAACACGTTTTTCATTGCCGCCATCACGGAACTGAAAAAACCGGTCCGGAATAGAGAAAAGTAAAATTCCGGACGGTAAAATTCCTGACAGTGCACAAGCGCGCATTACCTACATATGGCCTGACACATCGGACCTGAAAAAATCGGACCGCCGGACATGAAAATTCAGTGTAGTGCACAAGCGCCCTAAGGGGACTGAAAGCCTGTACCATCCGTCCGCAAAACGAAATCTTATCAATTTTCGAAAATTTAGCATTTAATTAGCGTTAACAGGAAAGAAAATTTCGTTTCGCAGTCTTCCGCAAAAACGAATTTATCGATAATTAACGATGCAATGGAAGTAGCACCTCTAGGTTGCCTCTGATGCACAGATACTCTTCGCGATTATGATTCTAATAAAATTATAAAACCGAAATTTTCTGAATTTTCGTTCGTTGACAAATAAATCGTATGCGAAAGCCAAACAATGAAAAACACTTTTCATTTGAATGGCAATGATTTGCATGTGCTTTGTCTCGTTCCATTTTTAGCTCGACAAAACAGCTCGGCCGTTCAGTTCTGTTTCGTAGGCAACTGCAAAATTCTGATCATTACACAGACGCAGATGTTTCGCTTTCGCAAAGAATACGTGTACTAACGGCGTTATATGCTGCATTATAAAAATTATATAAATCTATCATAAAATCCTACAAAAGAGAAAAAATACTGATAATCCTATTTTTATTGATCAGTTTCTGTAAATTTTACTCCCACAATATAAAATTAAAATCAACTATAATCATATACCACTAGAACTGCACCAACCTTATAGTGCACGAGTGGTACGGCGTCAGGCAACGAAGAGATCTTGGCGCTCATCTGCTTGTGGTAGCTGCGGATCAGCAGGAACACGTACCCGCGGTCCATTATACTCAGCAGGTCGAACAGGAAGAACGCCAGACTGTTGTTCAGACTCTGAGTCAGACGACAGTTTTTGCCGTATCTGCAACATTTTAAACGGTTACTAATTCGTCTAATATTATTGAATATAGGATCCCACCTTGCTCATACGAGATTATTAGATATATTTCTTGTGTTACATTAAGTATAAACTCAAGGATACCAAACTGACGGCGACTTTTATTCAAAAAGCGGAATATAATAGCTGCGACCAAATCAAACAAGAAGGATTTTGGAAAATCAGATGTCAATATGGTGGCCAGATCGCCAAATCTAAAAAGCGGACAGTCCATTCAGTTTGGCCAGTCATTTGAGTAGAAAGGCCGGATACCCTACATTATTGAGGATTTAGCGCTCAGTATTAATAGGTACGACAAAAAAATTTACGTGTAATCAAGTTTTTTTTATTATTATCATCATTTTTTTTATCTGTCGTCTCGCCTGCGCTCGGCCACGCCCGGCGCTCGTTGGTTTGCAAAATGTAAAAAGCCTAACAAAATCCGGACACCGCTTTTTTTGATTACACACGCAATCAGAAAGCCTACCTATGTCCGGATTTATCCAGACGCCTGGCACCGCTAAATGTTAGTGTAAAAGTCGGCAAATATTATTGGCTTTAGAGCGATTAAATAGCTAAGTTACGGCGATATATTTTCTAAATCATTCGAAACAGTATTCTGAAATATTGATAATTAAGCCGAACGTAATATTTTAATATTTATTTGAATGTCACCGACCCAGAGATGATCTCGGATGTGACGTTGTTGACTAGCGTGGTGAGATCGTCGGTGAACTGGTCGGGGAAGCGAGCCTTGCGCGGTGCCTCGTGCGCGCCGCTCCAGTACAGGTACTCCACCATAGACTTCACCATCAACTCGAATAGAGCCCTACATCAACACACGTATAATATAAAAGAGTAGAGATAATGTGAAGAGATCTGAAAGATAGCGTCTGTGTAAAAAACAAAAGAAACATTTTCTGTTTTATAATGTACGCGCCTTGCACTCACTCAAGGCACTCGGTCACTCGGTTCTCAATAAGTAACTTTTTGCTTATACAACCAAAATTGTAATTTAACCCAACCTTTTCATTCGATTCTATCGATAAGATTTAGGATGGTAGGATAAAGAGCTGACTTAAACTGCGTAAAGCTTAGTTTTCAAGATATACAGCCAGTTGCACAAAGGTTCATTAAAAGTTTTATTAGATTAAAGCGACATTACCCATACAAATTTGACAATCATTAGAGTTTAAAGGCGTCATTAAACCTTAATGGATGTTTGTGCCACTGGATGAATAACCATTAAAATATTTATTTACATTAAAAAAAAAACAAGTGATTATTAAAAGCACTTTTCTATAATTTAAGTTATTTGAGAGAAACAGGCGAGTTAAATTCACTCTACTGTTACCCTCACCCTTCATTAGTATTATATCATTTCTGGATCCAAAAGAGTAGTTATAGTAAGTAACAAAAAAATATATTTGCGTTACTTCTTTACTTAATCACTCAAACTATCGAACAAATTATACTGAATTATAATCATATGTTACAAAATATGTATTTAGTTACTGTAAATCATATTCATGTAATTTTTGCTCCTTTTTTGACCTATTTTCTTTAAAGACAAAGAAGAAAAATGAGTTATACAAACAAAACCAAACGTTAAAATCGTTAAGTTTTAAATATGAAATTGCTTGTTATGCAAGTAATTGATGTTGGGGTTCTTAAGATACAAGTAACCTACCATGAGTTTTGCATAGCGAGGTCTCTCGTGGCGCCGCTGGCTACAACCCATTGGAGCGCCAACTCTTCGTGTAGAATCTTGCAAGTACTGTCCGTTAACACTACACAACGACAATCGTAACATTTAACTAAACAAATTCAAATTTATGTAGTAAAAACGGGTCTAATATTCAAGTGCACTTTCTCTTCCGTGAGCAACTGTAGCCGAGCAGAGGGCTAATTAATTTTAAAATCTATCGTAATTCCTTTCTATTTGACATTTAAAATATATTCATTAACTTTACGCTACAACCATTTGATATATACTGGCGATTGCTATCACGACTTTAATGTAAAATATATTGAATGAACGATATATAATATAACGTTAGTTGGAAGTGGTAAGGCAAATGATAGACCAATATATCTTTGAAATCTATTGAAAAATGTCAAGAGAAAGTGTTGTAAACTAACTGTTTAACTAACAGGTTTAGGTAATTTTTAATTATATTTCTTGACCATTCAAATCATCATTCGTTCTACAAGCAATAGAGACTTTAAAATTTACATAATTCCTTAAATTACTGTTACCCTTTAACAGGTATTGTGATTGACTTTGTAATTAGTCGATTAATCTACAGGTTCTCTGTTCTGTTCAATGCATATGATTTCGTTTGAATGGTGGTTTATTTTTATTGAATTTCTCCCAATATTATTACACACTGTCCAATATTATAACAAAGTCTTCTTTATATAGTTCTTACATTTGGGTGAAGGGCATTAGATAGAACAATAGTCACCGTGATAGCAAGCCCACTCTACTCTCTACTTGGGAAGCGCCCGTCAAGAGTATTGTATACAGCTTGTAATAAGTTATTTTAATTGTTATAAAACTATCACATTACAGTGGCAGAATTAAATTTCAACCTACATCATATTTCTGTTACCATACATATGATTATTATCTATAAGGAAATGTAAAAGACAGCCAATTTCATTGTGAAACAGGGTGCGAAAATAATGAACCATATTTTTATAAGTGACCTGAACCATCAAATCATTAAAATTTTCTAATTAATAGCAATTCGCGCATCCGGTCCTTCGAGCCGGAATTGAATTAGTGATTTATGAATGATCAAAATTGCCGATACAAATATTAAAATATCGTAATAGTTTACCGGAGGGGGGTAGCGGCAAGCCGATGTCTGTATCTGTGAGGGATGGTCTCGGTATCGACGCCTGGTACTGTATATAGGTGGTGAGTAGACCTGATCTACCGTGAGCGTCACAACCGGCACCCTCGTTCATGTTCTAAAGAATTAGATGAATCGAATGAATTATGAAACGAGGAGCTCGATGGCGCAGGAGCTAGCGCGCTCGGTCTACGGTACGGTCGTTAACCAACTTTCATAAGATCATCATCAGCTCTATTATGTCCCCACTGCAGAGGTTATGGCCTCCTTTATAGATGGTTAAAGAGGATGGGCCATGCCTCTTCACGCTAGCCAAATGTAGATTGGAAGCTATTAACGACTACAAATGCAGCCGGGACCAACGACTTAGCGTGCCTTGCGAAGCACGGAAATCCTAGGTTGGGTGACCAAAAATTTATTATCTCGAACTCCTCCGCGCTCCCGACTTCATCTGCTTGACGTTAATATCCACCAGTCCGCATTGGGCCTGCGTGGTGGGTCATGGACCATTCTCTCTCTTCGATACAGGTGGCCTGAGTCTCAGCTGGTGGGGGATGATGATAAATCGAAAGAAACTGAATGATGGAGATATATGGAGAATATTACCGTGATTTCCGTGAACAAGTGTGCGAGGCAGCTGAAGACCTGCTGCGAGATGTTGAGCGTGTGCCCCGCGAGCGAGGGCGGCGCCGCCAGGAGGCGCAGCAACTTGTCCAGCAGCACCGGCAGGTACTGCGCCAGGGCGGTACTGCTCGCCTTGGGCAACTCCGCTATACTGCACACACACGTCGGTATGGATACCGGATCACAGCGTGGAAACTTTACAGTTTAGACTTCCACCAACAATATACAATAATAAAATACTCATACGGCACGATCTGTTAAAATACTAAGTAGTAAAATAGACTCAAGTATCTAATATAACAATAATATTAACAATGACATCATTTTGAATTTATTTAAACACTGCAAAAATACAAGAGTGCCAGGGACATAGTGATTTTTTAAGTAGTTTTCATTAAGAATATAAATATACTGTCTTCCGTGTTCTCAAAAAAGCTCTTACCTTGTCCTTAGTTCAGTCTCCATGTTGGCGAGGCCGATTCTAGCCGGAATATTCCCTTCTTGAACGGCCTCGCACGCCATCGCAAATCGTTCAATATACCCGTCCTGAACAAAAAAAATATAGATGATAGATAGATTAATACTTTATTGCAACAAAAATAAATACATAAAACAAAAAGAAATGAACATATATGAAAAAGGCGGCCTTATTGATAGGGTAGCAATTTCTACCAGGCGACCTTTGGCTAACAGAAACCATACCAACCAACAACAAATATAGCGGGTTAATGCATTAAATTAATAAATATATTTAACGAGAAAAAGAGAGAAAAAAAATTAGTACAGATTCCACAGAACGTACAGATACAGAGAAGGCGAAACAGAAACATTTCCGTTACTGTTTCGCCTTATTTCACTTAGTTAAACAAACATTTTCTGATTGCTCATTGCAAAGCTATCTCAATATAGGTATAATTAGATCTTGGACCTGTTTTTTAAGTGTTTCAGTCTGTTTATTAGATAATAAAAAACCTCTGAAGTATATTTCAAAATCTAGCGTTCCAGATCAAAATTACCTAACATAGCTTGGCGAAGCCATTTGCTGATAAAGAAACTCTAGCTACAGCTATCAGCAGTCTTTTAGCTTAATTTTAGATTTTAAGCAAACTTTAAATTACAACGGATTGGTAGTTCTACTTCTTCATGTCAATAACGAGTTCGTTCAATATATGCATACAAAATGTATTAAGTTTGACCAGATTGTTCTGGTGACTTTGAAGGTGACAGAGAGTTATGACGTCACGCGTCGTGGTCAGTATTTTATATCACGTAATTTTGATATCAAAAATTATAACTTGAAAAGTTTAAAAAATATAATATTGTTTTCTGATTTATTTCAAAAATCACGTGAGGCTTGAAAACGGGGGAAGGGGGTTCGTAAAAAATTACAAAATTTCACTAGGGGAAAGGGGGCTGTAGGAGTGCGACTATTTAACCAAAAAGCGGTGTCAAAAATTATGTTTTTTTTTTGTAGGTACTTAATTACTTTTAATTTGGGTGGAGGGATGAGGGCTAGTCTTAAACTCTACCATATATCACCAAGGAAATGCTGCAAAAAAAACATCACTTGACTAATGGAGGGCTCCTAATTTTGATACTATAGTATAGAGTGTATATATATGAACTGACCAGTGGGTGCACGGTGGTGTGGGCGTCCAGTACGACGTTGAATATCGGCTTGTGGTTGTCGATCCACCTGGTGCCGGGCAGCAGCACCTCCGGGAATATGTACGAGTAGTTGGGCGGCGGCTCCTCTTGCATCACGGGCAAGTTGAACTCGCCGCATGTCAGTTTACCATTACGGCACAACGGTAGCCACTGCACATCACCACATATCGTATGGTTATAATAAATTTATTACATACTAGTTTTCCGCAAGCGGCTTCGCTCGCGATGTCTTGTATTATACAGATAGACCTTCCTCTCGAATTGAAATCCTTTGTGTAGTTTAAAAGATCTCGGCGTACAGGCAGAAGTTTTTTAAATAAAACAGATAGATAAAACAGATTATACAAAATTAGATTCCAAGGTTACTTGGGGAGATAAATAGTTTATTCACACCTTTTTCTCGACAAAGAAGTCTACCTTTGAAAACGCACAAGGGTATAAAACGCAACGCATAATATTGTATGAAAGTTCTCATGGGATTAAATTTATTTTAATTTGGAACGTTGAAATTCGTTTAAACACTCTTAGCATACGTTAAAAATTATTGAAATCCTACTCACGCGAAAGACTTGTATTTTAAAAGATCAGTTTACAGCGTGATTGTTTACACATAGTAGGGGAGCCGAAGCGGGGATTTCGGGATTTACTAAAGCGCGGCAGATTAATATACAGGGGGATACCTTGTACCCAGTTAAGTACCTGGACTAAGTATGAGCCCTATAAAAATGGCCGGCGGCAAGGACGAAGGATCAGATTACTAAAAAAAAATTGATCATCTGAAAATCTCGAGCGCGTCAGATTAAGGTAAGGTGAGCTAGTTACACGCTAAAAGGTGTACATACCTCTAATCTGACAATTTGAGAGTGACGTAAAGAAGGGGGAAGGCTACAAAGTTGTAAATAAAACGTCACTTTGACATTCTCGAGCGTGGCTAATTTTTTTTTATTTTGAAGGGAATCATTCATGGATTACGAAAAATATATAATCTGACGATTTTCACAAGCCGAAGTAAAAAAAATTCACCGATAAGATTTAATGCGTGCATCTACGTGATACTTATATTTCCTTCTCTGCATCACTATTTCTTTCTCACTCTTTTTCTATTTATTACTCTCTCACGCCGTCCCCACTCTGGTTTCGGTTGCCACGACGCCATGACAGCTGATGACACAGACTCGTTCGTGGCGTGATATTGTTTACATCGTATTTCCAACGTTTTTGCTTATTTTGTTATTTTAATGTAAATTTTGTGAATTAAACTTTTTACATGTTTATTAAGAGAAGAAGAGGAAGATAATTCTAGCGACGAAGATGATAATTAATGAAAAATACTGTAAAAATTAAATTTTCATATAATCATTTTCTTATGAATATAAGTATTCTACACAAAAAAACATACACTTTTTTATTTGCATGCTAACTCCGGTGCTTTTCTATTTAATTAAGCTCAATGATTTAAAAAAAAAAAAAGTTTTTTTAATTGTCTGATTAAGTAAATCCCTTCAAATAATCGTCAATTTATGAGATATCACGTCTGGGGCATAAAGATGAACCATATATATCTTAATCTGATGCGCTTGAGGATTTCAAAATGGCGATTTTTTTTTGCATATTCTAATAATGGTCACGCGTTTGCGTCACATCCAAATCGTCAGATTATTATATGAGAGCTTTTTTTAGGTTCACTTGACATCCCCTCAAAAATTCTGACGCGCTCGATTAATTTTTTTTTCATTTTCAACCCTTACGTAACCAACCCCATCATGGAAACGATCAGATTAACATACGACAGTTTTTAAAAATGCGTAGGACATGGATGATATTAGTATCTGACGCGCTCGAGTATGTCCATACAACAGTTTTTTTTTTACATTTTCAAAAATCTATAGCCGCTTCCCCCACCGATGAAAAGGTATATATTATATGACATTTTTTTTTGTTATCATCTAAGCTTCGCAACCCAATAGGTCTCTATGATGCTCGAGTAAATCCCGATTTAGCATCGTGGGCTCCCCTACTAGCATGGTAATTATCTGAATAATAGCCTCAATGGGGTATTCTGCTGTATTTGAAATAGTACTTTTAAGTATTTATTTTAATTTAAAAAAGGAAATCCAAATTTACACTTTTTTATACCCGCGTAAACGCAGTCCGTCATATTCATGACGTCATTGTGATATGTGCACAAAACAGATGTATAGAGTAGACGATTGGAAGATGTCAATAAAACAAAAACAATGCTACATAACGATCAATTACGAAATAAAAATATGTAAATGAGCCAAGAACAGCGCCATCTAGGAATTCTATTTAAAATTAATAGGCTAATATGACAGCTGTCGCCACAGTGGCGTCACAGAATGGCGGGTCTTGTTTCAAGTCACGCGACACACAGATGAATAATCACAACTTTTGATTTTAAGGTAATAGTGGAAATTTAAGATTCAAAATCAGTATCTCCATGTTTATAACGATGTCAATTTCAAATTTTGTGCAATTTCGTGGCTTATTTTTCACTACTGTAACTACCCTATTGATTGCGTAGTCTCCCTTAAATGCGTTAAAATTAAGTGGAGAAATATAACAGATTTGTATAGGCTGACATGCTGTTGACTGTACAATCGAAAGTACATTAAGGTTACACCAAAAGGCTAAATTACCCCAATTAATTTAAATCTTAATTAGAAATAAGTAAAATTTTATTTTACCGAGTATCCAATAGGCGTTTCGACATTCTTCTCCTGGTCTGGTGCGACGGGTTTTCTCTGACAGGAGACGTGGAGGAAAGTGAACAGTAGATGGTGCTGATCGCCGAGATCAGCTGGCAGCTTCAGTTTGATCTCATCGTACAGAGATGGGTTTCTGTACCACATACATATTTTTTTTTATATAGCTAAACCTAGTTATAGTAATTTTGTCTGATATCTTTCTATGTTTATATAGTACTAATAGAGGAATGATTCATTGTTTTTTTTACATTGTGTACTGAATAGGTTCCAGAACTAATGGACAGAATGAAAGATTCTTTCTCCAACGGGAAGCTACATCATGCGCGGGTGTCATATGCTATAAATATCGTAGCGCAGAAAATGTCGGCCAATCAAAACGACCCAAGTGACGCGTCATCGCAAACGTCCCATTTACAAGCGGAAGTCAAGCGGAGCGGATCGCACTTATCTTCCGTCTATAGGACGGTTGCCGAATAAAAAGAATTTCCTACAATGACCGGGCAATACATGTATTTCACTCGTGTGTAAATATATTACTATTGCACTCGCACTGATGCATCTAGCCAATTTTGTCATAGTAAACTGAACCTTAAATGTTAACAATGGGTATGTTCCGATATACACTGCGACCACTGAACAGTATGACGTCAATTTAGTATACTGGAAGCCCGTTCTTTTATAGCTAGTTATAATGGTGACTTTTTAAAACGGAACGCAGTCCAGTATACTGTTAATTCTATTTTTTGGCGCCATTTTCAAATTTGTTAATGCAAGGTGAATATAAATATAAAGATTCCCTCTTTTCAAAAGAAAATTGGAAAATTGTATAAAAAAAATATTTATCAATTAAATCCATCTTATAAATAAACGTAAGTATATTTTTTTTTGTTTATTTAGAAACTTATCATTTTCTGATTCTGTTTCGACTGATCACGTCACGTCATAAATTTCCCTAGGGTACTATAGCAGTGTACTGGCAGTCCATAACGGAACGGATTTTTCAGCAGTAAGACCACTGCGCAGTGCTCGCAGTGTATATCGGAACATACCCTATATCTATCAGTACGCACAAAGGTAAACGTACGAATTTATTCCTGTTCGGCGACTGCTATAGCGTGAATAAGATGGGCGATGAGTTATACTCTTATCTTAACATGGTTACTACGACAAGATTCATTACAAAAAGTAAATTTAAGTCTCGATCCATCGACGTTAAGAGTTGGTAGGTCTTTTCTGAAAAAAAAAAAGATTAACCTGGCGCCATATTATTTAGAACTTATGTACTCTCCAGGTTTAAGTATTCGGTTTGCCTACTATTAGTAGATTTGATTGGGATAAAGTGATGATGTTTACTTGTTGTGATATAGTACAGTGGTGTACGCCTCTGTAGTGAACTCGGGACAGGAGCTGCGGCCGAATATGCCCGCCAGAGCGCTGCCCTGGTCCTCGCCGCACATCAGCTGCACGCGGACCTGAACGTATACCACCAACGTCACATATTACTATAATATAATAAGGGTGGGACACTCCCTTATAAGTGGCAGCTGAGATTTTTACTAGCGCCATCGAGCGGTGAACCCTGTAAACTGAAACGTCAAAAGTGATGTAGCCAGGCAACCAAACAAGGGATTTGAAGTTGCTTAGCAACACAATTGTTGATTTCAATGAAAATATCGAAAATATGTTTTATTAATTTCATTTTTATTTTACATGTAGAAATTTATTTATTCACTTGACATTGACAGAAATGTGCGCAATGCGCAAAAAGAAAAGGAAGAAGATCTCATTCATAGTCTATTTATTTTATACAAGTTATAGAAGAAAAATATTTCGATAATAGAAGCCCTATTGAAAGATAATTGTCATTGTAATACTTGATGCGTAAATGTTGAAATCTTGCTCGTCAAGAAGAAACTATAAAAAATGCGTTGAAAAGTACACTATACATACAGTTTGATAGAAGAACAGAAATAATAAGATATGATTGTTGAATCGGCATAAATGCTAGTCACAGTACAAAAAAAATGGAGAGTGAGCTCTTTTTTCCCTAATATATAATTCTCTGCTGTACAGTCACGTGCAGGTAGAGGAGTGGGCGGGTACTGGTGGCGAGTGTGCGTGAGTATACTGACGGTGATGTTGCGGGCGGATCCCGTACGCGAGGCGTACGCGTTGAGGTTGATGTCGCGCACGTGCAGGTATAGGAGCGCACGGTACTGCACGTGCGGCGTCTGCGGCGCGCACGCAGGAAACGGTAACACTTCTTTGCACGGACGCACTTTCTCATCTATGGACAATATGATTTCGAATAATACTCTTATCTATAATGATCGAGTTAATAATCAATAACAATTAAAATAAAACAAGTCTTTCCGCTTTATAATTCATAAAGCAGAAACATTTGTTTTTTTGCTTGTTTGTTTCAAAAGCAAAAAGTAAATTCGAAAAGTATATAAGACAGATTTAATACATATATACTATTACCAATATATAAAGGCTGTTTCTGAATTGAGAAAAGTACAAAATCTCAACTGATTATTGCCAAAGTCCTAGTTTATCTCCTGCAATTAACATTAAAAAAAGAAACGGTAACGGAAACCTGTTAAATGGCTTAAGTACGGTTTCAGATGTGCTTAACTTTAAAATTTCAATACGGAAACCGAATGTGAGTTTGTATTTTTGAGACGGGACGATAAGGGGTTACACGAAAACGTTCTGAGGCAAGGAGAATACACTGAGAAGCGTCAGTTTTCGAAGTGTACATGAGCAAGTAAAAAATCGCTGATACTAATGGGTTGCCAAAGTAATGTAAAATATCGATATCGATACGAGTGGTCATTCACCTATATTATTAATGGAAAAAAATTGGATTTTACACTTTGCGTATCTCTAATAACACCGTTTTGACATGACAGCTTACTGTTTGTGTGACGTCACATGCCGGTAAACAGAACCCGTTATTGTTTGCAACAACAAATGGCCAATTACAGGGCGTTTTCGTCATTAATTTAAATTCTTAAAATTGTTGCATTTTCTTTACGTTATTTTACTTTACCTAAATGTATTTTTTATCTGTGGCGACAATTATTAATTATAGCTCAAATTCCTAGATGGCGTTCTTCTTCCCTTTTTATATCTTTTTATTTCGTATTTGACCGTTAGATGGCATTTTTCTTGTTTTATTGCCATTTTTCAATATTCTATTCTACGCATCTGTTTTGTGTACACATAACAATTACGCCATAAACATGACGGATAATGCTTTCGAGGATATGAAAAAAGTTTGAAATTTAATTGAACTTTAAGGCAATAAAACGTGTTTATTTTCAATATTTGTTTTATTTCTTTTCTAAATTAAACAAAATAGTTCCATGTATTATTTCAAACAGAGTAGAATACCCTATTGTGAATATATTGATATTTATCCTATAGATAAATTCTTAAAAACACCATTAGTCTCAGAAGCCCACGAATGAATTTTAAAGTAGGTGTTTTCAATAAAAGTTCAGCCTTGAGTTTAAGTGGTGTCTTTCTAATTTTGGGCCATTTGCAGGCCTTAATGGTCTCAAATTTGCTTCAGCCAGACGTCGCCTTACTGTATCTGTACTCAGATAGTTTCCTCCAGCTCGTAAATGGTGATTTTTTACCTCAACGGCCGTAAGAAATCGATTTCTCAAAATTGTTGACACTATATAGCGATCCTCCCGCGCACCTCGTTCGGCCTGTTCCTGATCTTCTTAGGTTGGATCCAGTTTCATGGAAACGCTGGAGTACCCGCTGAACTGTGGAAAGACTCACACCAACAGTTCTCGCTATATTGCGCTGACTGCGCCCATCTTCAAGCATTGTCAGGATCCTGGTGCATTCTTCAGGGGTTAACGACATGATGACTTCAGAATACAATTTTTGTATGACAAACACACGATATTTATTGTTGTTTTTATGTCAAAACTAAAACAAATGCGAAACAAATGCTTTGATTTTTTTAGAACTAAATTGAAAAACAACCATTATCTTCATTGCCAGTTTTCTTACACAATTATCTAAAGTAAATAAAAAGGTTTTATATACTATGTTAAATAACATTAAATATTCTTTAATTGAGTTTTTATTTCATAAAGCTAGGTGAGGTAGTTTTCAAGTTATTGAAGATTTTCTAACCGACCCGTTTTCTTTGCGGTCCAGTGTATTTGCAATAAATAATTCGGAAGAATATAAAAACTAAGTAAATAAAAATAAAAAATACCTCCATAAGGGTTCAGTTTCGCAAGCTCAGGCGTGAGTCCGTTCTTGATTTCGTCAGGACACGGTGATACTTCAATTTTTAATGTTCCAGGGATGCATTTGAGTTTCTTAGGGGCAGAACTTGGCCGCTTTATCTCCGCCAAGAACTTATACAAGTCCTCATCGCGGAGTTTATCAGTCTCCTGTACGGAATAAAATTTCTTTTAAATACAGGCGATTTAAATTAAATAGGCACGGAATACTACTTTAGTCTTTAGAGTAGTTTTTCTACTAACCACTGAGCTACCCAGGACCTAACAAGACTGACGAATCTTTCACGCATTGTTCGGTTGGATTGCCTGTACATTGATGAAAACACGATCTATATTAGCGAAATGTAACAAGTTTTTGAAAGATTCGTCAGTCCCGTTAGGTCCTGGGTAGCTCAGTGGTCAGAGCAGTCGCACCAATTGCTAAAGGTTCGAGGCCCATCTCAGACTGCCAGGGACAAAGGAGATTTTTTAATCAAGAATATTTTTCAATATAGCATTCCGAATACAAAATCGATCAAATACAATAAAATGAAATGGATAAGAACATATATAGTATCGTAATATAGGACAGATGACCTGTTTGAAGAAGCTAGTGACCGTGATGGCGATGGGCTTGAGCGAGTCCAGATGCGGCGCCAGGTCCCTGGGCGGGTGGCGGCGCTCCACGCTGCCCTTGCGCGTGAGGGAGCCGCCCACCTCGCCCGCGCGCCGCCGCAACTGCTCCAGGCTGGACGACGACGCCTTGCGGTCTCGATGAACAAACACAATAAATATATTAAAGCAGACGGAACAACACACTACAAAATATATAAAACAATACAAACAAAAATTCTAATAGAAGTGTGAATAACTTTTTTTTATATCTAAATATATATAAAAAGTATCGTTCAGGTAATAAGTTAAAATTAAAGAAAAAATAATGTAAAAAAAATCCCGCGTAAACGCCAACTTCTGTCATGGCGTCGCTATGATGTCGCTCCCTTCTCATATTAATATCGTGCTGTGTGCATATAGGGTATGTTCCGATATACGCTGCGAGCACTGCGCAGTGGTCTTACTGCTGAAAAATCCGTTCCGTTATGGACTGCCAGTACACTGCTACAGTACCCTAGGGAAATTTATGACGTCATAAATTGCCGCCATATTTGTACTGTGAGCACTGGAGATTTCGAGGTGAGGAGCTCGCAGTGCTTTTGATCACGTGATCAGTGGAAACAGAATCAGAAAATGATAAGTTTCTAAATAAACAAAAAAAAAATACTTACGTTTATTATAAGATGGATTTAATTGATAAATTTTTTTTTATACACAATTTTAATATTTTCTTTTGAAAAGAGGGAATCTTTATATTTATATTCACCTTGCATTAACAAATTTGAAAATGGCGCTAAAAAATAGGATTAACAGTATACTGGACTGCGTTCCGTTTTAAAAAGTCACCAGTATAACTAACTATAAAGGAACGGGCTTCCAGTATACTAAATTGACGTCATACTGTTCGATTGTCGATGTCGCAGTGTATATCGGAACATACCCATAGTTTATTTTTGTAACCTCCGTTTTCATTAATATAGAACAAGGCTTAGCTTAATAAGGAAACGCCTAATCTTCTAAATCGCCTAGCAGATTAGATTAAGTCCAAACATTTTTTTCTTTTATCCCTTAACATATTTATCATACAGCGTGTTTGGTAATACCTGTATAATCCCGAATATGGCACATACGGTATGATGAATAGAACCCAGAAAAATGATCACTAAGACTGAAACCCAGCACATGACCTAGATATTCAGCTTTTTTTCTTCGAAGTAAAACTGTACGCTGACAACCCTAAAAACAGCTGTTGTGTTGTATTTGGTCATCGACTCCATGTGCCGAACTAGTTTAAAAAATAACAGAAATTAAATAAATCTAAAGATAAATGCCTAGAATAAATATGCATCTGAGAGGAATTTATTATTTCCAAACAAAGAAAAAGTTAGTAGTAAATGACTTTTAACTATAAAAAAACACTAATCTTGTGATTAACGGTGTTTCAAAAACTATTAATATGAAAACTTCTGTAATAATACAGTCAAAATAAAAAAGAAATTGCAAATACTTTGATTGAAGTTCAATATCTGCACCATTGCTCACATTAGTCTATGCAAGAAAGAGCGAGAGAGACATAAAATCGACGACGATGTGTATTGAGAAACTCGGGTTTCTGATGTGTCAGTAAGGTTCTGTAGATTATTTGGTTTGAAGTTTTGTTATTTTTTTCATAAAGCCGTGTTATTTTCACGAAACAATAAAATACGGACTTATACAATGATATTAATAATCTAAGTATCTCTCTTATTCTTAGTTTAAATGATAATTAAATAAAGGTTAGTTGTAATGGAAAGGTCTAATAATAAATAATATTTCTTGGCGCGGAACCCCAAAATCGGTACACTTTTTAGGTACATTGGTGTTCGAGTTGCAATAATAATAACCTATGTAGTTTTGGTCATCGCGTCAGTCGCGTCCGTGACTTTCATCGGCGTACTTGTGAGTTTTCAGAATTTAGAAGGTCAACTTACGTTTTCGTTCTTTCGGGACTTTTAGTTTGTTTTTCATTCTCGTTCTGTTTACCTGTGTATTATGTTTGTGTGCGGTCAGTGCAATGAATTCGTACTCAAATGCCTAATATTACGAGATGATAATGTGCGGCGGTGCTTGTGACGGTAATCTTGCTGCGGCTCGGCGGCGTTATGACGAGCGCCACGTGTCAGGAAGACCTGAAAACCATCGACGTCTTCCTTCTTACCGGTGATTCGCGGCATTTGTGAATTGGTTACATACAACTGGTTCATTCCATAGTGTGCCACAGGTAGGCCGGCCGATCACCTATTCCATCGAGACAGAGGATATGACTTTACGTCGAGAGTAACACGACACGGTCTGTGTTGAGTCGAATGGAGATGTGTGTTTTATGCGGTGGCCGGCATATCGAGACCCTGGACTGATAAAGTGGAGGTGAAGTGTAGGTAATGTTTAGAAGTGAAAGCTGAAAGAGTGATTAGAACGCTATAGGTATGTACATATTTAATCTTAAATTGTTTTAATTACAAGTAAACTCATACGTAGTCGAGTGCGCGCGTCGGCAACATCAAAATGTATTCAAGGAAACGAGAGAGAGGTAATGGGAGAGAGAGAGAGAGAAAGAGCGAGTGCGCCGGGACGGCACGTGTAAGCTTACAGGGTTGTAGCATAGTAATTGAAAACAAATTGTTCAAATATTTGTATGAAAATATCAATTTACATGAAATTGTTTTTTGACCTATCAATTGTGTTCTTTGTGCTAGGTTGTATGGCCATGTTTCGGGATTATACAGGTATTACCAAACACGCTGTATAAGCAAGTCCAGCTCAAGGCGCCGCATAATGAATATCATGACTTTAGACATTTCTTAATTTCGTTGGGTTCCTAGTTAATTGTGAAATGCATTTTTATCTTAGGAGATTCCTAAATATTTGGGCGATTCCTAAGTTTGGTTAAAACGGGCATAAATTTTGGTATGACTAGAGGGGCGTGGCCTCGCGCGCTGTTTGCGGTCATGTGACAACGAGTATCAAGTATTGTTTTTTTAAATTATTATATTATTAATTATTTTTATTTACATTGTATTTTTATTTACATTGTAAATAAAAAATAATTAATAATGCAATGGACTTCCACGAGATGATGCCTCATTATATTTTATACAGACATATCTCTTTAAATAGTAAATGTTTTTATTTTCAATGTTTAGCAAACATCGTCTTTCTGTCACCCGTGCCTATAAAAAAAAGTTAATTCTTCTATTTTGACCTAACTGAATCTAATCCAGGTCCGACCTTGAATCTGTGAGCCACTCGGCAATGACTGCCATATCTCAAATTTAGTGCGTCACTCACCGAGACTGTTGGTATTGGAGTTGGGGTGTGGGTGGGGATGCGGTTGCGGATGTGTATCGCTGTCCCGCTCTAGACTGCCGGAGCCGCTCAGTATGTTCAGCAGAGAGACGGCGCTCCACGCTAACGGCATACGATATTTGCCCAACCGAGTGCAGGCCGCCTGAGCTGCTGCACGTACTTTCTCACGATTCTAAACAAACACACACCAATAGACAATCTTTTTTATTATTTTTAAAGGTATGAAATATATTTATAAAAATATTATTCATATAATAAGTAAAACGTAAAATAAGTAAAACTAGCTACTGTGATGGCGTCGCTATGACGTCACACTCCTTTAAAATTCATATCATCTTAAGTATGCTCAGGGGCGTGGCTATGCGCTCTGTTTGCGGTCACGTGACAACAATTATAAAAGTTTTTCTATATTATAAAGTAGCTTCCGCCAGCGGCTTTTCCCGCGTGGTCTCTAGGGAAATGTTTAGTGGGATAAAAGTATCCTATTATCTAAGTCAGCTAATACCCTATGTGCATATCAAATTTCATCAAAATCCATTCAGTAGTATCGGCGTGATTGACGAACAACCATCCAAAAAAAGAAACTCTCACATTACAATGCTAATAGGATATAAAAAGCATAAAAGTGTGATTATCGGTAATAGCATATTAAACACTAATAGAAAAAAATAATATGTATTTATTTTTGTTGACTGTCTACACCCGTATTTAGTATTACGCTCATTTCAGAAAAGTCTATCTATCCTAAGCTTTAAAAATCTAATAAACAAATGCGCTGATATTTGGTATGTTCCGATATACACTGCGAGTACTGCGCAGTGGTCTTACTGCTGAAAAATCCGTTCCGTTATGGACTGCCAGTACACTGCTACAGTACCCTAGGGAAATTCATGACGTTATAAATTGCCGCCATATTTGTACTGTGAGCACTGGAAATTTCTAGGTAAGGTGCTCGCAGTGCTTTTGATCACGTGATCAGTCGAAACAGAATCAGAAAATGATAAGTTTCTAAATAAATAAAAAAAAAAAATACTTACGTTTATTATAAGATGGATAAATAATTTTTTTATACAATTTTCTAATTTTATATTTTCTTTTGAAAAGAGGGAATCTTTTATACCTTGCATTATCAATTTGAAAATGGCGCCAAAAAATAGGATTAACAGTATATTGGACTGCGTTCCGTTTTGAAAAGTCACCAGTATAACTAGCTATAAAGGAACGGGCTTCCAGTATACTAAATTGACGTCATACTGTTCAGTGGTCGCAGTGTATACCGGAACATACCCATTATCACATACAAGGCCGAGTGACGTCATATTATCATGGCAGCTACTATTCCGTCATTTAAAACCGCACATGTAAAATTTTAAAACTTCGATTAGAATTCCTTTTTTCGTTTGAGCGCATTGATTGTCGATTTATTAAAAAATAAGCACATTCTGTCACAATATGAATTAAATAAATATTCAATTTTACAGAGCACCATCTATCGAGTCACAGTAAAATCATACCTTATCATCCTTGATATAAGGCTCGACGCATTCGTTGACATCACCTTGAAGCACCTTCTCGACCCTCACGACCAGGAACACATCAGAGGACGGATTCTGTATATCGAACACGGCACTGCGGCTCAGCGTGGAGAGGTCCGCGTGAGGAATGTGCGCGGAGAGCATTTGCCTCGTACACTCAGAGTTCAAGTTGAAATAGAAGTTTTCCGACAGCTTCTTCTTCTCTTTGGCATCGTACAGAGCCATTGACGCGAATAGTGGCTCCACGTCCAACTCCAACCTGAGATTTCACTTATATATATATTTTTTTATTCTATTACTGTTGATATTTGGCCACTATCTGACCAGATGGTAAGTAATATGTGATCTAAGATAGTATATAACTACCCAGGAAGTGTCTATTCACTCTGGCTTTGATTAATATATAATTTAATATAAAAATGATATGGCGTGAAGGTATACTTGGATAGATAATATAAGAATCTATTTTCAGGGCGGGAAAAGAAAACTTTCTCTGATTTGGATATTTTTGTATATAATTCTAAAAGTATTGTTAAGAAATTTGAATAAATGATTTAAAATATACATAATTATGTAATTAGGTTAATCCATTTGTGTATGTTAAAGTAGTAATTAATATTAATTAATAACTATTTCATTTATTTAGCCTTGTGAATCAAACCTAAGTATGTAAATCAAATGAGAAATATGTGTCGTGTTTCTGTTGATGACTAAAATAGCAAACATAGAAATTGGCTTCTCACTTGAGCTGGTGGCACACAACCAGGATCCGGTGTCCCATCACCTCGCAGGGCATGTCCGCTGCTAACCGTCGCTCCACAGCTTCGTCTTCGTCCAAGTACGGCGTGTAAAGACCAAGGAGATCCGATTGACGGTTCTCCAATCTAACAGAAACAAAGTATTTAAGCCATCTACGAATATATAAAAAGACTTTTTATATATGCACATTGGCGACTTGTTGCTCGTGTAGATACAAGAGCACGTATTATTTTTCTTGGTTTATTACTTCAAAATATATATTGTTGTAATTGTCTCTTTACGTGTAAAGGCGACTAACGTGACAAAGGCGAAATAGACTAAACACACCAGGCCTTACATCAAAAAAAAAAGAAGACCACTTCAAATTTTCTTCGTTTTTTAAAGTATGGCTATAAAATAAAATCATAGTCAAAATTTGCCTATCTAAGCAAATGCTTATTAAGGTATTACCTAACGTTACAGGTTTGGTGATACAAAAACTCTGCTTAAGCAATTATAGCTATAATATTAAGTAATTTCTAGTTAAGCTATGTCTTGTTCTAGGTTAGTAAAAACGGGTAGTAACCTCTTAGCTTCGTTGAGGGCGTCGAGCTGGTCTGGCGGTTTGCGGTCGAACAGGTCGGGCAGGAGGGGGTCGGAGCAGGAACTGCGCAGATCCAGACTAGCCCACGAGCTGCGGGGAGTGACCGCCCCGCCCCCCGCGCCACCCCCCGCCCCCACACCTATCCCCATGTCCGTGCACGACGACGATGCCGACGACGCCGACGCGACCGACGCTACAGATTGCCGCCCGCTCGACGGCTGCGATTCCAACTAGTGATCATCGTATTGTGATATTATATAATGATAAATGCCATCAAATGTAATGGTGTTAATAAGCAATGTATCTTTTTCAATTCAATCTTTGCGAATCCCTCCGAAACTGTGTGGATTTAGATAGCTTGGGGCATTTGGGAGAACTAGTGTCAAAAAATCAACAGTAATTTTTGATAGAGCGATTGGGACTTACAGTCTAGTGAGAAACATTTTTAATATTGTTAAATTATGAAACCAAAAACTAATACCAAAGTGTAATAACATGACTCAAAACTATTATAAATTGTGTTAATAAAAAAAACTTAAACACCTGCTGCGACTCCAGCTCTTCAGTAGATATGACCAGGGGATCCGCATCGATCTCATAGTAGTGTCGTGGTCCCGCCTGCAGTCGCTCGAGTCGCTCGCTCAGCCGGTCCCGGCCGCACGACGAACCAGAGTACGAGCGGTACTTGTACTCCACGACGGTGTAGTCGGACGTGTAGCAGATGATGCAGTCACGGACAAACATGGGAACTTTTGTCCTGGAGTTAAGGAAATATAATGAAACATGATATTGTGTATTGAAAGTTTATTTACAATTATAAGTTGTTCAAGTTACATCTTATGTGTCTCATAGGGTATGTTCCGATATACACTGCGACCACTGAACAGTATGACGTCAATTTAGTATACTGGAAGCGCGTTCCTTTATAGCTAGTTATACTGGTGACTTTTTAAAACGGAACGCAGTCCAGTATACTGTTAATCCTATTTTTTGGCGCCATTTTCAAATTTGTTAATGCAAGGTGAATATAAATATAAAGATTCCCTCTTTTCAAAAGAAAATATTATAAAATTGGAAAATTGTATAAAAAAATTATTTATCCATCTTATAATAAACGTAAGTATTTTTTTTTGTTTATTTAGAAACTTATCATTTTCTGATTCTGTTTCGACTGATCACGTGATCAAAAGCACTGCGAGCACCTTACCTCGAAATCTCCAGTGCTCACAGTACAAATATGGCGGCAATTTATGACGTCATAAATTTCCCTAGGGTACTGTAGCAGTGTACTGGCAGTTCCATAACGGAACGGATTTTTCAGCAGTAAGACCACTGCGCAGTAAGACCACTGCGCAGTAAGACCGAGTGCTCGCAGTGTATATCGGAACATACCCATAATGTAATTTAAAAAAGTATATGAAGTGTGAAAAATCCTTTGCTGCATCTATATAAATAGTCTGTAATTGTTGTTCTAAATTTGTAAATGGTATTAATGTTCTGTGAATTGCTATGAATATTAAAGTCAATGCATGGTATTTGTTTTTACATACTTATGATAAAATAATTTTTTTTTGTAAATTTTTTACAATGTCAGGAATACAGAATGTGTACAGAATTTTTGTAGATTTTTCACATGTGTCTCATACATAAGGATTTGAAGTTATACACACATTGATCTATTTATTAATATATCATAGTCATAAAGTCGATACTGATAGCTAAAAAAAAAAATACTATTTCGGAATCAAACTTCCTATTGGGCTTAGTTTAACTAGAATAATTCACAGTTAAGACTTACAGGTCTTCGTCGGGTAGCACGTGAGTGAGCGTTCGTATGCGCCGCGGCACGGTGACCAGTTCAATGTCCGACGGCGGGTACGACAGCGGGTCCCGCTCGCCCATGAGGCGGTCGCACACCTCCTCATAATCAGGTGGTTCAATCATATCGCACAGTGATATCTGGGAGTGAAGATAATCCTTAATACATTTATTTATTTGAAGGGATAGTACACAGCTGAGTACAAATTAATATTATAATCTAACTAAAGGCCAATTATGGCTATCCAACAGATTACAATTTTATTATTAATCAAACGAGTGTGTGTGCTCTGGAGCTGTTCAATAAATTGCTCAATGAACTAAAGATTAATTGGCGACTGGAAAATATTCAAAAACAGACTGCATAAATATTTGTTGAATATGTGCTGTTACACTATTGATGAATTCTATACTCCATTCATTATAACATTAGAAAAAAGAGGATCTCAGAAGCAGCAGTGTAGAACATTTTATTTACAAGATAAATTTAAAAAAAATTTATAATAGTTTTGTTGAAAATTTTACATTTTCTCGTGGTTGAGATGAGACTATCATTTTCTAAATTCATCTTTTACTGAGAGCCAACATGGAAATAAAGCTATCTATTTGTTGTTTTGATTGATTCTAATTGTAAGTGTATATAATTAGAATATAATTTGGTTATATCTATGCCTAGAAAATAAAGGTCAACAAAATGAAATTTTTATTATTACTGTTATAACATTTATTCAGATATTATTAGATTATTGATTAAGACTGGAAAAACTTGCTAAAATGTCAAAGGTAATTGTTGTAGGCCACTCGGGCCTGCACCGGAATCGCAATTTAGCAAAACTTGACAACAAAAAGATAACAACAAAAACAAAACTATAAGAAAACAACAATAAAACAGTAATTACTCAATCACCGAAAATGGCAAAACAACAAGAAAGGCAGCATTCACAATGAATGACAATCCCAGATTACGTATTTTGACTATTATGAATAAATCATAATCTGACAAAATTAAAAAGCTGTAATTTATTTATTAAATTGGAATCAAATATTTATTTGACACGGACAAGCTGCGATCCAAAATTAATATTTAAAAGTACTTTAACAGTAAGATTTTTATTCGCAAATATTCACATTCAATATACTTAAATTCTATTGAGTCAGATGGATGTAATTTACACGTCAGATCAAGAACATCATTTATTTTTAATAGATAACCTTTAAATCATCGAACACAAAAACATTAAATTAAATTGACCGAAAATAAACTTAAATTTACTAAAAGTGCCATCTTTTGGGGATTTTCCAACTAAAACATAAGGACATAAAAACTGAATATTATACAAACTAAATTCATTAACTGTCGATAATTCACTCTTGTTTATTCAGAAAGATTGATATTCATACGACATATCCTAAAAACTACTTTGTTTCTAATGTAATAACATTACCTTTATATTTCTCGTAAACATATTAACATCATGTCATTTATGTATTTAAGGTGCCATCTTTTGATGTAAAGCATCAAAAAGCTATAGGTTTTTTAATTTTAAGCTTATCAATAGGTATATTATTTAACTATTAGAATGATTTATTTGTCTATTGATTGACTTAGAAACTTTTACAAATCACAACGAAAACCTGACTCTTAAAGTTGAGTTTTTTTGCTTCGACAATATAGACATCAATATCATATCATGTACTTAGAGTGCCATCTCTTGGTGGTTTTCCAAACAAATTATAATCTCAAAATGAATTATATTTTACGTGATAATAAGTTCTAAAACTCTGTCGCGGTATAATAAATACATAATGAGAATAAGTTAGTGACACACAATAAAATAAGTATTTTCCTATATGTTTTTGGCTCTGGGGCCACCAATGTATGGACGTTGAGCAATGTCCTTTGTTAATTTTTGATATACTAGATATTCATATCAAATTTTGATATGAATATCTAGTAATTATAATACATATTTAAATTTCCAACACAATGTAATATTATTAAATGGAATAAACAAATTATGACTTATGATACTATTCATAGTTAGCACCAATGTAAATTGAATGATTTTATTTAATATCTAATAAAAAATTATACATAGTATCTATATTTATTTATTTATTAATTTGACACTTTATTACACAACACAAAAAATTTACAAAAAATATAACAATACTAACAATATTAAATATTTTTATATGAAATATAAAAATATTTTTTTATATGAAATATATATATTTTATATGAAATATAAAAATATTTTATATGAAATGATGCTGTCAGCCTAACTCTCTTAATTTTTGCTGAGTGGCAAAAGATGTGTGAGGTCTAGCGTTATTATGATGAAAAAACACACTCCTTCTATTGATTAATTCTGGCCACTTTTTCTCAATTTCTCACTTTAATCTCATCAGTTGCAGTAGAGTTCAGAATTGATTCATACTGAAACACTTAAACCAAATTTACTTTACTGCTACTCTCATAGAAACTGCACTAGGTCCATAAATGCCACAAATTTTATTCACAGCTTGCATAGCATTTTAACCTTCTTTGTAATAAAATTTTAAAATGTATTGAATTGCTTCATTAGATTTACTCTTATTTTTACAACAGTAAGAAAAACAAATGAAAATCACAACTTTTACTAATCAGAGTTATCTTCTTTAAAATTTAAACTTTTTAATGGCACTGTAACTACGCAGATAGATATAAATGGTATAGTTATAAGGATTTTATTACAAGTTTATGCATATTTACTTAACGCATATATACAAAAGACTTCCCCAGGCGAATAATTGTGATATTATGATATTCCAACTTTAACTCTATTATGGTTTTTTTTTTGTGCTAAAAGCAATAGTATTGATTTTATCATTGGTTAAACATTGCTATCTACAAATGATTTATCTATCTATATACAAACAAACTCGATTAGTATAATAAATAATCTTATAGATTGCTATTTACAAACATGCAGTAAAATATATAAATGTTAAAAAACATTACACATAAGAATGAGTGCTAGTTCATGCATTATAAATTAGCTTCTAATTTTATTATCTAGGGAGGCTGTAAAATAAAGCTAAAAACTATGTTTTTTAAACTAAATTTTTCACTGTGATTAGTATCAAGATCTTGAAACAATTAGAAAATGAACAATCATGATGAATTATAAAATGAAGATACAATCAATTGTATCTTAAGTATCTACAGTAATATAGTGGTACTATGTAATGAATCATAAACAGTACCTGACATGAATAATGATAATAAAACTAAATGAGACTTACTGATGACGAGCACCCAGACAAAGTCCCAACCTTCGACTGGTTAGAATACACCTTACGAGCATCCCCAGCATTCCTATAAATAGGGAAAAATCAATCCCGCTATATTTTTACACGACCGAGACCCCGACATGCATGGTTAATGATTCGATCGTGCACGCTAATAAAGCCATTTACCCAGTAGATTGCTGGTATTTGCGTCCAAGTGTCATCTAAAATTATGTAGCACTTAAACACTAAAATTAATGTTAGTCTTAATTCAATTAAGTAAGAATTTCTTAGGATAATTTACGATTTTTTATAAAACCTACAACATTTTCCATTTACAAACAAATTTTGACGTTTTGATTTGAACGATTTGACGTCCGGTTTGACAGTTATGATAACTTTGTCGTTTAGGAAAAAACCTTGTCATTATGTTTAGGAACACTTGAAAAATTGCAGAATGCTTCGGCTGGGTAGTGCTAGCGTAGTAAGAGGTAAAACAACAAACAAAAGATGAATTAGTTTATAAAGTTATAATACAAGTGTATACCGATCGCGTCATTTTGATGAATATTATGAAATAAATCCCCAATACTAGATTCTAATGCCACGAACATACGCTAGCCACTTGTTGCAAAGACAAAATCTCTGCATTTAAACACGCAAACAATGTGAATGCCGCGCAAAAGCTTGCAGCAAATTACCTTTGATTTATGTTAAAGATAGGTTTGGATAAGGTGCAAATGCGACATAAGTTGTTTATTACCTTAGATCAAAGCCTTAGATACCAGCACTTTTTTTATAAATCTATCAAAATGCAATCCCATATTTTGAAACTTTCGAGTGATGCCCAAATCAAATTAAAATCATATATTCAGTCTAGGTCGTTACAAGCACTTGTGAAAATCAACGGTTAAGCTATCTTGCGACCTTGTACCGAGAAGAACTGGTAGAAAATTCAAAAAAAAAGAAACTCAGCAAGGGCCGCTTTTTTCTCTACCTAGATAGCAATTTTAACTTGTATCAGACTTGCAACAAGTTTGATACATTAAAAAAAGAATAATTGCTTCAAGTTTGCTTTGGCAACTTCACAAACTTGCAGCAAGTTTAAATCAAACTTTCTAGTTTCAGTGTGACAAACTCACATGCATTTGTCATAACAAACTTGCACTACCTTTGATACGGTAGTAATGATAATTTTCCTAGGTACTGACTCGAATACCTACGAAAATATCTTTATTCAAGTAGGCTATTACAAGCACTTTTGAATCGTCCAAAAAAATTTTTTTTCCCCTACCATTTGTTCGGGACGTCTTTTAGCTGATAAGAAGAACAAGCGAAAGAAACTTACCAGCTCTTTATCATAAGTAATGAGATTAACATAAATAATGTCATTACCAAAATAATATGTATTATCACAATAATAAATACAACTTTCAAAGTCTGTAGGACATAGGTTGAACATATAATTTGTCTTAATAGAACAAAGCGAAGGCTATTAATTCCGTGCATTGCGATCCTTTAAATAATCATCAACTTTATAATAGCCTTTACTCATAAGTATGTTCTTTACATGAATTTTAAATTTATTTATGGGTAGGTCAACTACATTTTGTGGAACTTTATTGAACATAGCATTTACCCAGAAATGATCCTCTGGTTTTCTGAAGTCTGAAGCTTGGAATGGCAAGTTTATTTTTATTTCTTGTGTTAAGATTTTGAATACTACTTTTTTTTTTAAGGAATCGTAATGTTTTCTTGCGTACATACATAACATTTTCATAGATGTATTGAGAGACAACATTCAAAATATTTATTTCTTTAAATATTTCTCTGAGAGATTCTCTAGACCGTAAATTATATATAGCGCGGACAGCTCTCTTTCGTAGAATAAAAATATCTTGAATGCTAGTCGCAGAACCCCACATTAATAGACCATACGTCATTACACTATGAAATTAACTAAAATATACCAATCTTTGTCAAGAGTCTAATTTTCTTAACAGCAAATGCTGCAGAACTCAGTCTACTTGACAAATTATCAATATGAGGATTCCATTGCAGTCGGGAATCTAGTGTAATACCAAGGAATTTTGTCGATTCCAGACACTCAACTTTTTCACTATTTTTACATTTATAAGTGTATTAACATGCCTCACATTAGGTAATGCAAACTTTATGCAATTCATTTTATTTGAATTAAGCTTTAAATTATTACTATGAAACTACTGTAGAACATTGTCGAGAGCATCATTTACATCGTCAAAAAAATCATTACCCTTTTTAACTTTAAACACTAAAGAGGTTTCGAGGCAAATATTACTTTAAGTTTACCAAGTTTTTATTAATCTTTTGATCATTCAAAGCATCTTTTGGTGCAAAAGCGATTTTAAACCTTGAATAATTGCAGAAAACGCTATCACAATCACTACACCTTTAAAAATTATTGCGATAGACTTTTAAATTAGAAAATAGGGATGATGTCTGGGTAAAATAAAATATTTAGTCCGTCAGCTGTAAGATATTAGGAAAGGAAGATGTACTAGGAGTCCTGGTGTGAATCCGGGAACCATCTTACACGCAGCAAGCACCATGTTTTATTTCATACATAGCGTCAAGGGACCCAGAATAGATACTTGGTGAACCTCCATTTTTACTTGTGAACCACATGATCTGGTGCTCTTTATATCGATAGTTTGAGTTTGGAACTGAGGTACGACAATAAAAGTTGTAGGCCAGAGTCTTTGATTCTATAGTAATTTAGTTTTGTTACCAGTGTTCGATGCTCAACGCAATGAATCGCCTTGGATAAGTCTGAAAATACTTCAAGAGCAATCTGTGACCCCTCCTAAGCCTAGAATATATGTTTAAGAAGTACTACATCAGCATCAGCGACCTTTTGTGATACCGTATTGTTTAGTATGCAGTAATTTATTTAAACTAAAGTAACAAAATAACTGTTCAAGAATTATTTTTCAAAGATTTTACTTAACGTCGGTAATATTGATATAGGTCTATAATTATTATGATCTTCCTAATTACTGGACTCAAAAAGAAGTATAACGTTGCTAAGCTTCATAAGATTTGAAAAAAAAAATCCTTCATCTATAGAACAGTTAAATATATCCGGCAAGTAAGGGGCTATAATATAACATGTACTATATTTTTAATAATATTAAGAGATGTGCCCCATAAATCGCATGTTTTTTATTTTCAGATATTTGAAGGTTTTAATTATATTTAAGATATTAATATATTTAAATTTAAACCGGTCTACCTTAGGCACGTATTTTCTAAATGAGAAAAAAGGTAAGTATACATTAACGTGACTTGTCACTACGGAGGATGTGACCACAGAATATAGAAAAAAGGCGTTCTGTCGATGTTACCAACTGCCATTACTTTTTCAAGATATTCACATATCAACAAACTGCAGTTTATGCATTTATGCAGTTAGCTGCATAAATATACGCAAATATTTAAACTAATAACAGCAATCTACAGTAATTTTGAAACTAATGAAGATTTTTTAAAATTCATGTAAACACCTTATTTCCCATGCCTATCCGTTATATAATCAGATATGAAAATAAAGATATTTATGAAGTACCAAAACAGAGATATAATTAAACATGAAAGTATATTCATATATGATACAGTATATCTTAGTATTGTTTATATATATAAAGAAGTTTAAAAAGAAATTTTAATTAGTTCACTGCAGTTCCGGACATGCGACAGTCTGATCCAACCAAGTTCAAGGGCAACCTGCCCGTGCGCGGGAAGCCCGCACTACACGACTTCGATCCAATTATAAACGTGAGTGAAAGATTATTCAGGTGCGCAGCGACTAGTTTACTCGTGATTTCATTTTAAAGGGTATGCAAATGCACGTGATGTATCTATCCATGTTCATTACGGCTGGATCTAAACAAGGACGGAGCCACCGTTATGGGCAAGTTGGGAATGTCCACAACCCATTAGAGTTGGGACGTCACATTTTCATGTTTAACCGTGGTTGATGCCAATATTGAACTTCACTATTGTCTTAATCATCGTGTCATATATTTTGGGAAACATTTTCTTTGCAGGAATACACAAAACAATTATAAAATGTTGGGCAGAAGTTCATATTCCGTCTGACTGCTTTCAGGACTGCACTCTGTGACCACAATCTTTTTCGAGGTCCGACCATGGGCCTGAAGACAAAAGATGAAGAATACCGATTTGCAGATAAAAAAATAATTAAATTAATTACAAACTATTAAAATAATGTAAAAGTGTTACAAAATTACTTACATACGAAAAATCAGTTTTTTTTTTATTAAGAATGTTTTAGTCAAAAAATATATGTTAGAATGTATAGTGATAAAGACATCGCCAATAGGGATGAGACCAATTTTTGTTTGTTTGTCGTCACGTTAGAGTACGTTTTCTACTCAACTGTGACGTAGCGAGCCCCCACTCCTCAACTTTAATGCCTGTTATCTAAGTTAAATTGTATATCTGTGTGTCTGTATAAATTGTATGTTATCTAAGTATATCTTGAAATAAAAAAAAAAATACGTATCTAATATTTTTCTATTATCTGACTGACGGACTAAATAGAATTGCATTTTTCTTACCCAGTCATCATCCCTATTTATAAAAACAAATCTGATATCGATATTCAAAGATTATCCCCTCAAGAATATACCCTTTCAAACAAAAATTAATCATCAAAATCGGTCCACGAATGATAAGGATATCGTGGATACAGTAAAAAAAGAGAAAAACAAACAGATGCTGCCACGGGTTTCGGGTCTCATCTCTTAACATCGTAGCGGTTTTGTGAGTAAGCCTCCGATGACCCACCGTCTGGAGTAAAGTCCCTGACGCCTTCTATAGAATTGCAGAATTAGGATCTGTCCTAACTTCTCTCTAGAAGTTAGGGCGTGTAAATTTAGAAACTTGGCTCTGTTGACAGTGCGAATCTTGAGGTTTCAGCTTAACAACATTTTAATGATTGATTATATTCGCGAAAGATATTGACACTATAATATGATATGTTCTTTGAGACAGACAACCGAGACCGTTTTTTTCGCGTTAGATAGAAAATATAATATACCTACGCAATTTTGTTTGGTAAAACGAAATATAGTTTTCCGGTAAATTTTATATGCAAACAAAACTACTGATCTTATTTCGATAATAAATTAATAATGTTATATAATTATTTTTGAAACTTTTTGGCGTATTATGTTTTATTTCAACAAGAAATCGCGAAAGTCCCAAAAAGTAAAATAACCTATTATTTCGGGAAGTCTTGGAAATATCGAGTTGAAATCGAAACAATATACTCAGGTTTACAGTCCCTTGAAGCTGTGAACAAATTAAACTTCTAAATTGACTAAAAAAAAGATACGACCACTTAATTTACTCAGCAAAAACGCATATTTGGACTCTCTCAAGGTAATTAAACTTGATAGAGTTATTCCTGTTGCCCTAGAACTATGAAAAAACTCAGGAAAGTATAGTTTCCTTATAGTTTGTTATTATATCATAATAAAAGAGTCTTAAAGTGAGTCGACATTTCAAAGCTTATTTTATTTATCAAAACTTATTATATTCTATTTATAATGCATAAATGCTTAATATAATTAT